GGTTAGCGGAAAACTGTGTTGGCTCTCTGTATGAGGATATTATAGAAACGTTTTCTCTTTGTGAGGTTTTGATTTACCGTTGTTTGCGGGAGACAGTTCAATGTCTATTTACTTATTTTAATGGCAGGAGCCCATTGAGAAAAGCTGCTGTAATCTTTTATATCATCAGAATAGATAATGGAGATTTATTATCGTACATGTTTTATTGAATAATCATCATCATCTTGTGACGTGTAACTTTAATGCCATTAAAGTTTATGTGGCCTGTCACAAGCGTTATTGTTGGCTTGTAAAGGTAGCGACTGTATTACATGATGCTGTGTCGGTGCCAAGTGTGCCAGTTATAGAATGCAGGACTTCACTGTAGCACATCCATCAAGGAGATATCCAGCGGAATACTAGAATAGGCACCCTAGGCCTAAATACTTGGTTGAATATAAAGTATACAAAAGAATGTACAAATTAAGTGTATGTGTCTTGCCATCATCAAAGTTATATAAGGTTAAACTAACAATACAATCCGCATTAGACAACGGGTTACTTCGTTAGCGTTACTCTGTGCTCTAATATAACGGTGCTATATAGCCGTAACCCCCGTGTGTCACCGGGGCCCTCACGGAAAGCAAAGAACAGGAACACTGCACCCTACTAGGCATGTCGTAAATGGCTACTAAGGGTTGGACGTGAGGTTGGCTACCTTATCCTTTAAAAACAATAGCTACAAAAACCAACCATTTATGGAATAGTAAAAAAATGTAAACAAGAAAAACCCAGGCAACCAAGATGAAGGAAGGCTTTTCTAGTATAATAAGTATGACAGTATGTGGAGCAAGCCGAAAGGAGCCCGGATAGTCGACGTACTTTCTTTCACCTAGGACATGGAAAAGGGAGCCTGAGAGTGAAGTCAAACAGATGGGGAAGACATTGGGAGAGCTGCATGCGACAGCAAGGATACGACTTTGCGTAAGCTGATTGTGTGCTCATACTCCATTAGTAGCTAGAAGGGCAGAAGAGAGAGAGATATGGTCATACGGTTGAGCGGAGAAGACAAGTCTATAAATCTATTAGTAACGATATGTTCAATTCTCTTGAGCAATAACTCAAAAGGTCTGACCCACTTTCCGAACGAAATCAAAGGTCATAATAATTGCAAAATAGCATCCAGCGGTAATAAAACAACTTACTAATAATCACTAATGGGCTTTTCCCCCCTGACCTCCAGAAAACAAATAATCCTTGTTCAACGCGAGGCGTTTGTTTCATGCAGTCTATAAAAGCTATGACATTTTCTATTCGTTAAATATTTATATGGACAATAACGATGTACGTCTGAGCCGGGTTTTCATTCTTGTATGATGATGTATAGAGACACAATTACATATAATTATTCTGTTTTTGTTTCAAAATTTTACAGGCATTCTGTCTGTCTGTCTGTCTGTCTGTCTGTCTGTCTGTCTGTCTGTCTGTCTGTCTGTCTGTCTGTCTGTCTGTCTGTCTGTCTGTCTGTCTGTCTGTCTGTCTGTCTGTCTGTCTGTCTGTCTGTCTGTCTGTCTGTCTGTCTGTCCCTTCCATACCAAAGTTTCAACGCTCAATGTGTCAACGCTCAAGTTTTGTGTAATCCATTTTTGTGACTCGGGAGAAGAAGGAGAACTCTAAGAGCTATAGACAGCCTTTGGTAACATAGGTATGTGTCTACATGTAAAGATCAGTTATAAAGTGACAAAGTATAAATGAAACAAACCAGCCATTGGCCGTGACAATGTATAACTCAAACAAACCATCCATTGGCCGTGACAAACTATAACTCAAAGAAACCAGCCATTGATTGTTACAAACTATAACTCAAACAAACCAGCCATTGACCGTGACAAACTATAACTCAAACAAACCAGCCATTGATTATTACAAACTTCAACTCAAACAAACCAGCCATTGATTGTTACAAACTATAACTCAAACAAACCAGCCATTGACCGTGACAAAGTATAACTCAAACAATCCAGCCATTGACCGTGACACAGTATAACTCAAACAAACCAGCCATTGATTGTTACAAACATTAACTCAAACAAACCATCCATTGACCGTGGCACAGTATAACTCAAACAAACTAGCCACTGACCGTGACAAAGTATAACTCAAACACACCAGCCATCGACCATGCATGTCTTCTCTTGGTGTGTTACTACTATTTACATTATGCATTTCTTCTTCTTCTTAGCCTTAACCAGCTGTTAAGTCCGACTTCGTCCACTTTTGGATCAATGATCCAGAACTTAAGTGTTGTGTGCAATTCGGTTTCACAGATCTGGCTTGTTTGTGTACATACTGATAGTTCCTTCTCACTCAGGCCGAGGCATTCTAACATTGAAGGAAGCACCCATACTTAGTCGCCTCATATGACATGCTTGCAAGCTGATCAGTCGGTCTAATCTTTGTTCATCAAAAGTGATCCCAAAAACGCCCCCACACCCCCTCCCCTCCCCCCCAATTCCCAACAAATTACCTTTGTAGTGAGAAAAGCAGCCATGTTGGCAGTGTATGTAGACACTGTGATGAGAACAAAGAAGAGGAAGCCCGCGGTCAGAATTCGTTGTGAAATAGCCACAGGAGCGAAGTCTGAGCCTCGCTTGAGAAGAGTCCCGATTGTAAACCAGATAGTTTCCTGTGTAGATGGTACAGGTAATAATTATTTTAAAATCAAACAGCAAAATATCGTAAGTGCAAATGTAGTGAAAAAGGAAATTTACAAAGTGGAAAATCACTTTTACTCTTGACCTTATTGGTGATTTTTATTTGATGATCGTGCGAGATGACAAAACATTGCAGCTAAAGTGAAGGCTAAAGTAAGAGGATCGTCTTCATTGTATCGGCTTTTATCCCATATGGCTCAGTCTCTCTTCGCCGAACAACTAGCTGCCTTCAGATAGCGTCGCACATAGCCCGACCTCCGTAGCTACGGCGACGATTCTGTAAAATTGCACTCCTGAACTGAACTGCGTCTTTGTAAAACCAACCCACTACATTCAGAGCACGAGCCAAACGGCTTGACTACTTCGCTACAAGCTTATGTACATGACAAATGATGTTGCTGAGTGCTTATTTAAGTAAAGTATACAAAGATTGCGGGATGCCGGGTTCGATCCCAATTGCGGGTCATGCGCCTTGCGTTGGTTTCCACGGTGGTATCAAGAAAGCCGACCGTCCAGTAAGCAATGGCAAACTACTGGACGTAAATTTGCCTAGAAAACCCACACAACAGGCAGGGGCTGTTGAGGTTGGTTCTGAAGATTCCTGTAAAAGATACTAACCATAGAAAGACTGATACTTTCTAATACGTATGTAAAGTTAACTAAGTAAAGGACCCTTTTCCTCGCCCTTTCGGCGTAAAGGGCGTATAGGGTTAGACCTATATTTTATAGACCAATCGGCACAAGGTAAGTGATATGGTCATCATCATGCCGGCCGCCTTTACTACCCGGGACTGAACCTGGAACCCACTTAAGGCTGGGTCAAACTGGGAGCCAGGGTCATTTAAAAAAAAAGTCTGGCTCCACCAGCGAGTGAACCCACGTATGTAAAAATGAATATAACATGGATTGCAATTTAGGAAATCAATTTTTTTTTTTTTAAATAACAGTATTCAAGTTTGTTTTATTTGGCAATTTATTTAGGGTATATTCCTGATGTGGGTTCCGAGGCCCAATTGAGGGAAAACCATGAATAGTCCCACTGTCTTTTTAACAAGCATGTCGTAGGAGTCGACTAACTGGAGGCTTCCTTCACAGTCGAAGCGCACCTGCCTGAGAGGCAAAGAACCAACAATCTGCATACCAATAAGTAAGATCTGTAAAACGAATGTGCAAGCACACATACACACTAACAGTCTCTCTGTATGTGTGTAATGTGTGTTCATGTGTCTGCATATGTGTCTGTGTGTGTGTTTGCGTGTGTTTGTATCTGCGTGTGTGTTTTTGGGTGTGTCTGCGCGTATCTGTACGCATGCGTGCCTGTATTTAATATGTGGGCATGTTATGTATGCATGTATGTGTGTATATGTATTATGTATGTATCTATGTGTAAATGTATTATGTATTGTGTGTGTGTGTGTAAGGGGGTATATGTGTCTGTGTATGTGTGTGTTTGCGCTCGCGCGCGACTGTGTGCTTGCATTTTACCCCCATGCTTTTCTCCCCTTGATATTCATTATAAAGCATATTGTTATATGAACATAACATGCGTTGTTGATAAAATGTTTGGAGGGCCCGAAAAAAAGACTTGTGGCCCTTTGAAAATAAAAGTTCGTTCCTTGGTTCCCCCGCACACACGCAAATACATAAAAAGACTTATCGTTTTGTGTAACAATGCTTTTCATGTATCCGGATAACGAAACACTACACACTTGTATAGCAGTTCACTTAGTTACGTCCTTTTTAGGACGTAATTTTTTGTTATTTGAAGCCCCACTCTGGCTTTTGCCAGGGGCCGCAATATAGGCAGGCCATCAATATGGCCAATTGTCTGAACGCGGTTTCTGGGATCTCTCCACGGTGATCCTCACCCGCATGGTGGCACTTTGTGTCATCGGGTGTTTATCGCTTGTGTGACATCCTGGTGGGGTAGAAAGTCAGGTCAGGTCTACACAGACACACACATTTTTTCCATATATCCGGATAACGATACACTACACAGACAAAAAACTGTGTTCCATGTATCCGGATACCGAAACACTACACAGTCACAAGCACGTGTTCCATGTATCCGGATACCGAAACACTACACAGTCACAAACACGTGTTCCATGTATCCGGATACCGAAACACTACACAGGTACACAAATGTGTTCCACGTATTCGGACACCGAAACACTACACAGACACACAAATGTGTTTCTCGTATCAGGATACCGAAACACTACACGGACACACAAAAAGTCCAGACTATGATGACGAGAACTTCAAGCACGCCAATGTTCTGACGTGTTCCGTCTCCATACTTACTTTGATGGTAAATCTTCTGTCCTCGCTGCCGTAGTCCAAGATATAGAAAACAAGACTAACTGAAGCTGATGCTCCCAGTATAGCCATCCACAACTCCAGTGAGAAAGGCATCATGAACTAACCAGAATACAGTCAAAGCCATGTTTAAGGTTTAGAAAGCAATGGCATGACACTAATGTTCAGTACATATACGATGTCATCTGTATTGTGTTCTCAGCAAATAATGTAAGAATTTTCAAAATGTATCGCATCAATGTCATATGTATAAACACAGAAGAGCGTACACTTCAGACTTGATATATTTTTATTGCATGTAATAGATGGTCTGGGGAGAATAGCGCTGCGAGGAGTTACAGGGGGGATCTTGTCAGCGCTCAACACTCAAGGGAAAGTCGGGACGATATACAATCAGACAGTTACAGGTGACATCGGAATTGGAACTCTTTGCTTGCTGCTGAAGATGGGGGCGGCGCGCTTATAGATGTGTCCCGAGTGCTGTGATGTCGATTCTTAATTCAACATTCAACAATGGCATTCAACGAAAACAACATATCAGTTAAAATGGCATAGTAGGCAATGTGCGCTACAAATAGCGAACAGTAGTCGTATTTCTGGTTGCAAAGAAATAAAACCGGTGAACATTCATGAACTTTTGGCTGTATGTATGGACGTTGTTCAGTAAACTGAAGCACCGCTGGTCCTTAACTTTTGAGAGCTGGGGCTTTAGAATGTCAGAGATGGCAGAGGTGAGGATGTTATTTATCCTGTAGAGATAAGGGTTACGGGACCAGGACAGTACCTGACTCGTACACGTCCTTGTTTTGCTTTGGTATAACATATTATAAGTTAAGGTATTTATGTAGAAAATTAGGATATTTGAAGCACATAATGCGAAAGCTTACGTAAGGCTGCCAATGTCACAAGGAGAGACAGAGTTCGAAACAATAACATTAGATCAATTGTAGGAACCACACCATGCCTGCAATACATAAAGAAGCAACAAATAGAGTGGTTTGGCCACTTGATGCGAATGCAAACCGACCAACTGCCTCTACGAGCATACAATGAACTGCCCTAGAGCAAGAGGCAGACCGAGAGTACGATGGATAGACAATATATCAGAGATCCTGAGGCAACACGGACTAACAACAACACATGCAACACACCTGGCCCAGGATAGAAAACTGCGACTCCCCACTACGCTGTGAGGCAATTGTGGACAAGACAAGACAAGATAAGACAAATGCGAAATCTGTCTCTATCCTTAGGGATCAACATCAAGGCAAAAGGGTAGTAACCCATAAATGCTTTGTTCTACTTCTAACGCAAGCCTGAACCCGAAGAATCTCAGCGCAGTGAAAGAACTCCATAGCACCGGCGATGATCATGAAATACTTTGGGTAGATTTTTAACTCATTTTTGTGGCTGGGCAGCGCCGTTATGCTACTCTTTTCGATCTCCAAATGACAAGAGATTATTTACGGCTTATGCGCTACTAGCGTGCAAGTCCTTTAATTTTACTTTCTAAGTTCATATACAGTTGTTTTGACCGCTTTACGTATATCTGATGTACATATGTGGCCTTTGATCAACACTTGTACTTGTCCCTAAGTAATACGCAATTCATTACTCTCCCTCTCTCTCTATCTCTCTCTATCTCTCTCTCTCTCTCTCTCTCTCTCTCTCTCTCTCTCTCTCTCTCTCTCTCTCTCTCTCTCTCTCTCTCTTTCTCGCTCTTAAATAGTATCCTAAAAACTGGAACATATTTTGATCACAGACAAAGAAGAGACAGAGAAAGACAACATGAGGTGATTCTTGACAGCTTTTTATCAAGGCATGAAGAGGTGTCAGCACACGAACTAATGCATGCTGCTGGAAATCGCAGATTGTGATCATCAACGCTGGTCGACAAGGCACTTGATGATAATGATGATGATGATGATGATGATGAGTATCGTAACATGTATGCAAAAGTATGTTCTTATTTCTTCAAGAAGTCTTGCTTATTCCCTTGTATTTTCCAAAACTCTCTCATTAGTCAGTATTACAGTTTATCTTAATATTTATTGTATCAAATAACACCCTATCTGGATTGCTGCATACTTCACGTTTATTAACCCTTTCGCCAAGTGAAAGCATTACATTTTTTTTATTACGCCGTAGGAATCTCCACAGTCTGGTGTGATTGATGCAGCGGGGAGTGACGAGAGGTTCTGGCAGATGCTCGAAGCTCAGAGGAAAGGCAAGACGGACGTTTAATCAGAATGCTACTGGCACCACTAGTATCGGAACTCTTCGCTGGCTGCTGAAGATAGGGAGGGAGCGCTTATGGGAATGCCACGAGTGCTGTGATGTCGGTTCTTGAATCAATCAAATCTAATCAATCATGACGCCGTTGGAATTTCCAGCGGTAAAATCCTTTAGACACAGAGGAAAGGCATGACGGACACATAACCAGATTGTTAATCTTCTTCTTCTTTGAGTTCACCAACTGTAAACTCTGGTGGAAAGTTCTGGTTGTTCGTCTACTTCTGGACTGCAGTCCTGTTCCAGAACCTTAGTGTTGCTTATGCATCTGTTAGACAGATCGGACACATTTGTGTGGAGACTGTTTGTTTCTTGCCTTCCAGGCAGATGCACTCCGACTTCGAAGGAAGCTCCCAATTAGTCGAATCTCACGACATGCTTTTGGGTAGGCATTGGGTCTATTCTTGTTTTCCTAAAATTAGGGCCCCGAAACCCACACGGGGAAACCAGATAGTGACCTGTACTGTCAGTATTGGAACTCTGCGCTGGCTGCTGAAGATGAGGAGAGAGCACGCATGGAAACGCTTAAGGTGCTGTGATGTCAGTTTTTAATTCAACTCCACTCAACTGAACTCAATTCTCAAAGAAAAAAAAAAAAAAAAACTATTATACACGTACTAATAAATTTGAAAAAATAAAAACACTGCGCAAAAACTCAAAGGACTAATAGAATTTACGCTTTTCAAAAACAGGTCACTGCAGGCAGGTCCATGTATAGGCGTTTATGGGGGTGTGGTCCAACCGGAAGGGGCGAAATGTAGGCTTCTCAGAGCGAAGACATTAACTGTACATATTTTATAGCCAAGTGCATTGCGATACATCAGATCTACAGTCCTCTTTGCAGTCCATGCTGTCAGGCGTTAGTATTCTTGTCTGTCTACAGCAACTTAACTCTTGTGTGGTCAATAATTTACCTAACAAATGTTCTTTTGTGACAGGATGCAAAATAGTCCTTTATCCTTTTCAATTGGTCTCCTTGAAATCGATTCATTTCCAACTTCTTTGTTGTCACGATGCACGCAGTGGCTGAAATTAATTCTTGCGATCAATTATTTCCATCATCATAATTGATTATTAAAAAGAAGAAACAAACTCACCTGGAAAATATTAAAATTTTCTTTGGGCTTCTTTATTAGTAAGTTGACCCCAGTACTGATTACGCCCAAGCTAAAGTCGATGACAGCCTCACGACTGGAAGTGATTGACATTGCTCCAAAGGCCAAAGTTGCATTCTGAAGTGTGGTATATACAGGATGAGTCAAAAATACCACGACTCGTTCTAGTAAATTAATAGTCTTTTTATAACGTTGTGATTTATGGTAAATAGGACACGAACAGAAAACAACTACTTGAGAAATTCGCTGCCTCTGTAAGGTCACGAACAACACAAGAAGGTGGGAGGATATGAATATCAGCATTAGAAAGGGATTTGGAATACAACCATATTTGAATCATGTTTAAAGAATGAAATGATTCCGCTATATTTATACGTTTGAGGTTTTGAAGTTTTGAACAACAGATCAACATCATGGCACACGGGTAGTAACCCATAAGTGCTCCGTTCTTCTTTTTTCTAACTCGATGTCTAAAGAAGCTCAGCACAGTGCACAGACTCTGTAGCACCGGCGAGAATCCTAAAATACTTTAGGCAAATTTTTAATTCAAAATTTTGCCCGGGCAACGGGATTTCCAACTGACAAGAGTTTTTACGAGCGCAACAATGCACACGGGCGTCCGATCTCACTAACCAGAGACAGGGGGAAATTCTAGAAGTCCAAGTTTACGTGAAAAAATCCTAGCCCTTTCCTAGGCATTGAACCCGTACCCTCCAGCACTCTAGGCGGACACCATGTCTCGAGACCACGCAACCCCTAAATATATATCATATATATCACCATGTCTCGAGACCACGCAACCCCTATATATATATATATATATATATATATATATATATATATATATATATATATATGTGTGTGTGTGTGTGTTTGTATATATATATATATATATATATATATATATATATATATATATATATATATATATCAGAAACGTATGGAGAGTCAAAGACAAAGAAAGCGATGGATAAATGCTATACCTAAAACCTGCAAAAAAGTTGAACTGATGCATTTCCCAAACCACACTAGAAGCACAAAAGAAATACAGAAAAACCACGACAGCTGGCTACAGCCTGCTATTAGTGAGACAACTAAAGAAAAACAACAGAAGAAAAAGAAGAAGAATTTGGCCTTTATGTAAGCGACGAAGCTGTTTGATGCACTGCAGGTGAGTAACTCGCTATTGTTGTGTTGGTGAGTACTGTTTGTTTAAAAAGTCCCTTCCAACAGTATAATTTACGTAGCCACAGTACTGATTTGGCACAAACGGCTTACATCTTGTTTAATTGCCTAGTAATAATAGGAAGAATACCGAGGCATGACAAGGCAGACGTTGTTAGGGGGTGTGGCCCAAAAGGAAGGGACAAGGTGTAGGTTTATCGTGTCGAAAACGTTAACTGTACATATTTCATTGCCAAGTATATTGCGATGCGTTAGATCTACAGTTATTTATGCAGTCCATATTGTGAGGTGTTAGTATTCAACAGTTTCATTTTCAGGCCAGCAGTTTTGGTTCCAGAGTGTACTAACGTCGTCCCTCTGTGGGATGCAATTTCAAGTTATTTCGAAGCTCAAGCTGGCTTTTGCCGGGTCTTAAATATGACTCATATATGAATTCCTAGAAACAGTAATAGAGGAATACAACATAAGAAGATTTTTGAAGCCTTTTGATATGTCATGGAAAGGTGTTAGCACATAATACATACTGTTAGAGATTGTATGATAAGTAGACGTATGATTGTTAACGTCACTCAGCAATGCATTTGATGATAATACCATACTGGCATTAAAAGTCATTATCTGATACTAAATGTGGCCTCTCCTACCATTTCTCAATCACTTCCCAATTGTTACCTTTTTGTTGTCGTTTGAGATAAATTGTATAGTTCTTATTTTGTTTAAGTATTTCCAGAAAATAATTGTTGCTAGTTCCTAAGTTAACTGGTCGTATCTTTCTGTTACATAAAATATGAAACAATTATTCATAAACTGTCGTTACCAATAAACTGTGTGTGATTATCTTACTACACGGCACTGTAGCCTAGCCATTAAACAGGCAGTTCAAAAGTCGAGCTGAAGCTATGAAGACATGGATATAACATAAGAGAGTATGTTGTATATCGTGATAGGAAAGAGACACAAATTCAGTGTCCAGAAAAACTGATGATAAACACTCAACAGTTGAAGGGTAAAATAGAGACAAAAAAAATATTTCGGTGAAAGTTAAAAACATGACGCACATAACGACCATTTCCCCTTATAATCCATGAGGCGTGGCGTAATTACCAGTGTCTGTCCACAACTTTCTTTTTCAACTATTTTCACTCAATTCTGACACAGATGATCTTAAATTCCATGATGTCAAACTGTCCAGTATCCTCTTTCACGGTCTCCCTATGCATTGTTTCTCTCGTGCTTTCTGTTGTCAAAATTTCTTCAAGTTTTCCTCTTTCCTGAAATGACAAATGATTGTAGATTTCTCCATAGCTACCCTACAAGATTTAAGATCCAATGCGCATATAAAACAACAGACCAAGCAAGATAATGTATCTAATTTTATAAGAAAGCGCCGATGGAAATGCATCCGTCATGCTCTCAGAATGGATAAGACCAGAATTCTCCGCGAAGACCTCACAAGGACACCGAAAGGGAAACGAAAACTGGGAATATCAAGAGGGACCCTGCGCAGAACCATCATCAAGGAAGGAACAGCCAAAGCTTATTGAACATTTAGGATATAAAACAGATAGCAAGGAGCCGCCAGATATGGAGAGATATGACCTCTGCCCTTTGTGCCGCTCTAGGCTCAAGAGGAAAAATTAACTATCCATACAAGAGGGAAAAACAGTTAGCCAAGCGAGAAGGCGTGGAAACGATTAAATGAGGAGGATAACACAAGAGCTGGGCAATCAGTATTCTGTGAAAGTGCACAGGTGGTAAAAACCGAGTGTTGGTGATACACTGAAGCTACTCGGAATTATGGAGACGGTACCTCATTAAAATTACCATTCTCCAAATGAACTGACTCCCGAACAACATCTTGTAAAAATGTCGGCTCTTTAGCAAGATTATATACAAAGGGTTAATCTAGCATCAGTCAGTAATATAGGTGCATTAAAACAATAATTGGTGCCGTTGTGGTTAACCTCTAAAGCAGTTTGCCCCTCCTCTGAATATCGTGTATTCTTTTCATGGACTGCTTTTGCTTTGTAGTGCAGTATTTACTGAGACTGAAAAAAAGAGATAGTCACCAAAGCACGGAGTTCGTACTTTGTGTGACGCTCTCGGCAGACCGCTAGGTGCTCTACTTATAGAGATTTGGGTTACAGTCCGACACTATGAAGTTAGTCTTCTCTACTTAAGTAAATTTTAAATAAAGAAAAAAAAAAAAAGAGCAACACACTGACCCCAGCCATAATCTCTCCGATCATTCCGTCCCAGTTACCATTGCCATCATCTGCTCCATATCGATTGTTTGGGCTCTGATATATCCTGAACTCGAACTTCAGGTCAGTTGATAATCTTTTGATGAGGTCCATGGTGAAACCTTCGTATTTTTCATTGGTATCATTGCCAAAATAGTCAGGTTTTCGCATTATGAATGGCCGTTCCTGTGAATGGAAATTCAATATATTTACATTTTGTCCCTAAGTTATTCGATCCAAAGCAAGATGTAGTGTTCAACTTAAACCTAAAGTATAAGGTAATATAGACAAACTACAAGTTCAACATCTTGCCATGGACCGTGTTGTGCTGAAAGGGCATATCAGGAAGGTAATAAGACTAAAGGAAGAAATGATTGCAGAAAGAATGAGAGCTGAGCGTCTGAGAAGAAACGGATTAAACTCAAATGTTGACAAAAATGGTCCTGAAATCCCATGCTACCATGGTGGAAGACTTTTCTTGACACAGACGGGTCTTGCTAGTCACACTCGCAATCGCCATGGGCTGTGAGTCTCATGCCTCCGCATAGCGCAATACAAATCTATCATCTGGAAAGACGGAAAGGTGCCAGTGATGAATGAAGATCAACATCGTAGAGACGATAGGAAACACGAACTTAGTGGGGTAAAGTGTATGCTCTTTCTGCTTGTTGTTTCCCAATCTTATCTTCTCCTCCTACCTCTCCTCTATTATCTCCTCCTCTACCTCTTCTCTTTTCTTTCTTCTTCTTCTTCCTCCTCCTTTTCCTTCGTATTCTTCTTCTTCTTCTCCAAAAAAATATACACTAAGAGAACACTGTTCAACACAATATTCTTACCAAACCAGTGCTATCAAAATAACCATGGACATCGTCTTCAGAAGGCAGAAGTAGAATATTCAAGACAGAAATAAAATAGTTATCTACAATGCTAGGTGTAACGAAGAAAGATCGGTTTAGTAGCAATGATATCAGGAGGACAGTCGTTACAGAAACAATACTGAACTTCTTCGGTAGACAACAGATGAAGTAGTTTGGCCATGTAACAAGGTTAGCATCATACAGGGCACCACGGAGAGCAATGTTATACAGATACAAAGGTAACAGATCAAGAGGTCGACCACGCAGAACTTGAACTGCAGAAATATCAGAGACATCAAAAGTACTTTATAAGAAGCGAACAGAAGAACCCGTTCCAGATGCGTTGTGACCCGGTGTTTGTTTGGCTTTTCCCGTCGGCTCTACAGAACGGCAACCAAGCAGCAACAGGGCACCAGCACAGCGACCAGCACGAGGCAAGCCAAGCACCAGCAACAGTCAGCTAATACCCCTAAATATCATCAAAAGAGATCTGGACCACACCAGACCCAAAGACCACAAGCACCACAGCGCAGCAAGGAAGCAAACAACCGTAATATCAGGTGTGACTACACACCACAAATAAAAGGAAATCACATAAGACAGCAAAGGAACCTTCCTTTATATAGCAGGCCTCCGGGCCGCTGAAAAAGGATCAAATTTGGAATTTTTGTTGGACGAATTGGAATTGGAATTGGAACCCGTTCCAGAGATCTCATCGTCTGCTGATGCTGCAAGGCATTCCAACAGTAGAGAAGAGACAGAAGGAGAATAAACTAAAAATACTCCGAATATAAGAAGCATCCACACAGATTTAGCGTGTACCTAGTTTTCGTAGTCTTACCTCCACAACTACAATGTCCACCAGTTTGGGGAAAATGCCCATCTGGCCCAAGGTTTGCACAATGTGTTCGTCCGTTGTCATGTTCAGCCGCAGCTCGGCAGATCGTACGTTTGGGTTCCATTTGGCCTCCTGTTAAATAGTTACATTTTCCACGATTAAAGGTGAATCTCATATGAGCATGTGTATTTAACATATGAACTAAATTTACGTTTATCATGTATATACGAGGATTTTTTTTTAAAAATCAACATGCTTTTAACGACCTTAAAAAGGAAAAGTGTGCCACAACGTTACTGTTCATTGCTTGCATCATTCAGTAGCCTTTTAGCTCACTATACACCAATCTCAGTGCACAAATACATGGACACTGTCAATGTTTGTCCCGCCACTTGTGAAATTCGTGGTGTAATTCGTTTTCTTGAAGCAGAAGATAAAAATTCTCAGCTTTGGCGTTTTAGAAACAACCCACAAAGAACTATGGGATTACTTGTAGCCGTTGTTAAAGTAAAGGACCTTTTTTTATGCAGGTGGCACATCAGACATGTGATGCTAAGCTCACATTTTTACAAATCAAACGGCACTGGGTGAATTATGGAGTCAACATCACGCCGACTGCCTTCATCTCACAGGATCATCTTGAAAACATCCGAGTCGGTGTGGATTCTAAAGGAAGACCGACTGGCCAGATGCGAACGTCTAGCCTCTATATCACCACGGCTCCTATAATAATGGGAGTCGTCATGGCTATGGCGGCTAGACGCCCGCCTGTGTATCGAAAGGTCCTGGGAGCCGGACTTTTTTCAGAAATGACTAGGTTGACCCAGCCTTGAGTGGGCACCAGTGCTGTTCTGGGAAGTAAAGGCAGCCGGCGTGATACTGACCCCATCACCTATCAAGTGTCGACTGGTCTATAAAATTTAGGTCTAGACCTGTACAGTGTTGCCACTATGGATATTTGACATCCAGATTTAGAGGTTTTCTCTTGGATTTCGATGTCGTTTTTGACGTTTAGATGGTAGATGTTTTTCCAGATGTTTTTTATTTGGAGTGAATTTATAAAATATAACCTGAGAAAAAGGATGAAAATTGACCTCTTAAATACTATCTTGACAATAAAATTCGGCCTGATAAGAGTAGGAAAATGCTGTTCCACTTATAAGCTCCCTGATTGGGTATTAAAAGAAATTGGAACAGCTAAAGCATACCAGAGTCATTTTTGATCTGAAGCTTCAACTTCATCATCCAAGCTAAGTTTATCCTGTGGATCTTGTAAGGCAGACATCAGTTAAGATGAGGACATGATTCAATAGGGTAAGTCATATCAATTGCTATGTAATTTGTGACCTTTTCCATTTGGATGTTTTTTTCTGTATGTTTTTCACGCAAATTTAGATGTTTAAGATATTTTTGACACCGTTTTGGATGTTTTTTGTCAAAGAAAAGTGACAATACTGGACCAGTTTACTCAGTACGCCTGAAAACGTGCAAATGATTCTTTTTAACACGGAGAAGAGGGGCGGGGGATGAGAGGGGCAAGAAAAAGTAGAATAAACTGAGGAAAGGTTGACTGTTATTGGCGATTACTGAAATACCATTTTGTACATGTCCTCTCCTCCATGGTTGTAAAGGTAGAGTGTGTAGTTGGTTCTTTGTCCAATGGAATCAAACTCAATGTGACCTGTGTTCCCATCCGACAGTTTGACCTGGAGATAGGACAGGTTAAAAGGGAGGTAGTTATATACAGAACATCTCGGTAGCTGGTTGTGTTTAAAAGGAAGGGGGATTGGTATGGCAGGTTCATTTGCTAGAACAGTTCTGTTTGGATTTTCATTAAGGTATTATAGCTTGTATTATACAGTGAGGGTGGTAGTAGTGGTAGAGTAGCAGTAGTATAGAAAAAGAAGCAATTGTAGTGGTGGTTGTGGTGGTAGTGGCAGTATTAGTGGTGGTAGTATTAGTTGTTGCTGTGGTGGTGATGGCAGCTGTAGTAGACATGGTAGTAGTAATAGTTGTAGTGGTGGTGGGTGATAGTGGTAGTAGATGTGTTAGAGATAAAAGTAGCAGCAGCAGTGGTGGTGGTGGTAGTAGTAGTAATAGATGTGGTAGTGGCAACAATAGTAGCAGCAGTAGTTGTGGTGGTAGTAGTAGATGTGGTAGTGGTAACAGTAGCAGCATCTATTAGTAGCAGCAGCAGTGGTTAGGGTAGTAGTAGTCTCAGCAGCAACAACAGTAAGAATACTAGTAGTAGCAGTAGCAGTAGTGGTGGTAGCATTACCAGCAGTAGTAGTACTGTGTTTCCACGAAAGAAAGACCAACCTCTAAATATGAGCTCTAGCATCATTTTCAAGATAAGTTTTATATAAGTTCTACTCTTTAAAAAAATCAAGCCATAGTTAGGATCCTCAGCTACAATGAGAGACTAGTTTGCCAGTGGCATCTACAGACGTCACTGTTGTGAACTTGATACCACCATACTGTTGTGGTAAGATATTTCAAACGTATAACTTGGAATGCCAGAATAACTAATAATGACTGTTTGGAAAAGGCTAATAAAAGTAGAACAGTATATACAACAATGAAAAAGAGACAAAGTTGTTTGATCACATGATGAGAAAAGGAGCACTGGAAAATATCTTATTTACTGGAAAGGTAACTAGTAGAAGAGGCTACGGCGGAGGCAGACGACCAAGACACATATGGTGGATGGCTCAAGACAGTGGCATTGAGGAATATCAACAGTGGAATTGATCCAGAACACTGAAGACCGAGATCTGCGGAGATGCATGAACGCCTACGCCAGCTGGCAATGTACTTGATGATGTTAACCACAACATAACAAATAAAACAAACAAGAACGTGACGAATGACCACATATTACTACTACAAGGAAACCATTGTTCCCAAATACTGACCACCGTCATTGCAAATAGAAAATGTCTCCTGAAAATGTCTCACCGTTCTCAAAGCCTCCAGAAATCTCTGCGCCGAAAAGTCATCTCTCATTGTCGTTTGAGCCGAAAGGTATTTGCTTAGCGCATACGACGTGACTCTGGCTGCGTCTGAAGCGGCGGCGTCAGTCTCTTCTGTATCGCTGGTGTCATCATTTGTTGGGATCACGTAGCGGAATGCCAGTAGCTTGCATCTGGCCGAGAATAGGCCCAGTCTGTACATGTTTCTGGCCCCTGACAAGGGTGTTAGCACAGAGCTCTGAGGAGGTATATTAATTTGTTCATTGATGATAACAGCTTAGTGACTGTTTAACTGCATTTTCATTGCAAATTGAAAGAATGAATGAATGAGTACACTTCATTGTTCTCTGGGCATTCCTATACATTTCACTTTCTCCGCAGCTAACCAAGAGTTGACAGACACCTGTATGCTGATAAAAACCACTTATATTTTTACCTACCGAAAGGGGAAAAGAAAACGGGAAAGACCACGAGAGACCCTGCGTAGAACCATCATCAGGAAATGCTCAGCCATGAGCCTAATGAACATGTAAGACCCAAAACAGGTGGCAACGAATCGACAAACAAGGAGAGCTATGACCTCTGCCATATGCGCCGTCTTAGGCTCAAAAGGAAAGACCTACTAAGACTTACTAACGCTGAACATCAACCATAGCCTCTGTTCATTACCCCTCTGAACCAACCTCTCCAGTATTTGTACACGATTTTCTCTGTTGCTCTATCCACATTATCCTTGAGAACTTTCGCCATGTCTGTTTTATCATAAAATAGCTCGCTACCAAGAGCAACGGCGGCACTTAATCTGTCAGCTTGTTCTTTATTCCTACACCATAATATTCTGGACTGAATTTCCACTATATATTTGTTTTTAAATGTTTCCTTTCCAGGACTGCTTTATCAAAGGCTGAAATGGCTGAAAATACCAACTATTCGGTTGAGAATCCATCTTGAGACATTCACGAATACCCTTTCTAGCTGTACACAACAGTTATATCGGAAAAGCGGCGGTTATGAATCAGCCTGTTTTCTTATAGTGGCATTCCTCATTCGAGCGTAAGAGGGAATCAGGCTTTATGTAATCACGACCGGCTCCATCTGACGGGTTTTGCTGCTGACGTCACCGGGTCGGGCTAACGATGCGTTAACGGTTCTCAAACCAGAAATACACTATTTTCGACGGAGGCGAGGGAAGACAACTGAAATTTTAACTTTAAATTACCTACATGCCTACTTTAATAATTTCACAGTTTTTAGCTGAATTTTCTTGATTACACCCCTTGCATACGCTCACGACATCATAGGGTGCCTCAGTACCCAGTTTGTGAACCGCTGTGTTAACGCATCGTTAGCTTGACCCAGTGATCTCAGCAACATGGCCCGTTAGCTGGAGTCGGTCGTGACGTAATGCCACATTGATTTGCTGTAAAGTAAGTTTTTTCAAAGGTTTAAATGAGGCATGATGTCACTAATGGTATAAATAAGAGAAGGAATATTGACATTGTAAAAGATCCGAACATCAAAGAAGAATAATTAAATACTCGTATTATCCTTTTACTCTGATTATTAATTGTAGAAGTAAAAACTACCCACAAAAAAAAAACGTCCTCGACCTTTGATTTATAAATAGTAATTTTTTTTAAATACTTTACTTATAAATAAACTTAAATATTAATAATAATATAACAGACTGTTCCAAGTACAAACAAATTCAGTTTACAAAAATGCTTGACCCCTTCCCCCTTATTTTTTTAAAAACTTTCTTGCACCCCCTAGCAGGCGCGGCCAAATTTAAAAACCACTGATCTAACTAAACCAACAGTTATTTTTTTTTCTTCATTTATCAGCCAATAAAAGCTTTCATAAATTCTTCTTTAGTTTGCTTCTCACAAATTTTCAGGACCAGAGCATCAGGCTGGGCGTCTGCCAGGGGAGACCGAGGAGATAGGGGAGGGGTTAGGGGGTTGTGAGAGGAGAATTTTCCCAATGTTTGTTTGATTCATAATTTTTGTTTTTTTTAAACACATTTTTCAGATAATACATTTTTGCTTTCGTTCCTTTTCATATAAAACTGACCCTTTCTAATTTAATCGGCCCACTTGATTAGTTAGTTACATTTTCGCTTCTGTATTCCAGCAGTGCTGTAAAAAGGCTGAGTTGTCTCGAGGCATGGCGTCCGCCTAGTAACTTCCCCTAGTCTCTAGGTAGTGAGATAGGACGCCCGTGTGCATTGTTGCGCACGAAAAATGTCGCTCGCAGTTGGAAATCGAAAACGATTAGTCTAACGACTTTGCCCGGGCAAAATTTGGAGTTGAAAATCTACCCAAAAATTATATCATGATCCTCGCTTGTACTACAGATTTCGTGCACTTATCTGAGATTCTTAGGACTCAGGCTAGAGTTAGCAGTAGAACGGAGCACTGATGGGTTACTACACTTGTGTCATGATGTTGATCCATTGTCTAAACCTAAACCTAAACCCGTAAAGGTATTTAAGGTTTCTTCTTTGTTGCTACTTCTGCCTCTCATGCTAGAATTGTAACTGTTTAATTACCAGATGATTTCTCAGGATATTCCCAATGGTAGCAAAAGTCACAGTGAATACAAACTGTGATAATGTGGCTGTCGCAGACGTAGCAACACATATGCCTAGTGGGAGCATTGACTAACTTGCCAGGTTTCTGTAGTATGCTCAGGCAAGACATCAGACAACATTGATAGTTGCTTACTGCACATGGGCAATAACTAATCACACTTGGTGCATAAGTTGGGACTGAAAGAGTTAAAGTCTTTTCACCCTCACTTATTATCTTCTTAGTTCTTTATTTATATCAGTGCATTGCTTATTAACCCTGTCTGATACATAATTTTTGTTTTTTAATTGGCCTTACAGGCTTAATACTGACACATTACCCACCTAGTGCCGATTGGTCTGTAAAAAATATGGGTGCTCTTCCCATATGCCAGATGCGCCTAAAGGCGTGAAGAGGGATCTTTACTTTACTTTTACCTAATTGGCCTTCTTTCTTTCTTCTTTATTAAATAAGCTTCATGTCATCTATGCAGTATATTTTCTTTCCCTCGTTTTCAGGACTTCAAACACGTTTCCTCTGAACGCTTTCAACGGCTTTGAGTGCCATTAAGTTAACACATTGTAAACATACCAGTCATAGGCTGCCTGCTGCTGGCTACCTGGTGTCAAATTTTTGGTAAATTATGGCAGGCCAACAAGAACACAGTTTCCCATGTTGACGGTTGTTCATACGTGCATAGCTGTTATTGATATATACATTACCAGATGTTGGTAACAAATTTAGTTAACCGCTGGATACTAACTGAATCAAGGAAGTGAACTGTTGCTAAAGTGAAACTTACTGGATCAACTAAGACAAATGCGAATTCGTCCTCCTGAAGAATACCAAAACGTCTAGCCTGTGAAAAAAAGAAGACCTCGTTTCTTTATAAACAAAAGTAGACGTGTTATGCTAGCAAAATGTAGAACAACTTAAGTCAAATAATTTGTACGATAAAAATGCACTTTGTGATCTGCATATTTTTTAATAATAGGACTAATTTGTGTGCTTCATCTTTTTTTGTCGTAGGTTCGGAGCCGGACCTTTTTCAAATATAACCTTGGCTCCAAGGTCGACACAGCCTTGAGTGGGTACCGGGTGCAGTCCCGGGAAGCAAAGGCGGTCGGCGTGATGCTGACCACATCACCCATCTTGTGCCGATTGGTCTATAAATTATAGGTCTAGCCGTGTATGCCCTGTACGCCTAAATGCGTGGAAAAGGGTCCTTTACTTACTTACTTACTTACTACGTTTTCTTTTTCTGCTTAGCGTTCATCGGTTGTAAACTCCAGCTTAACGTTCTTGTTACTCGTCCAGTTCAAGACTTTGGTCTTGTTTCAGACTTATTTTTGTTGTTGTTGTTGTTGTTGTTGTTGCCTGCATATCTGTATTACAGATCTGACAAGAGTTTATAGTTCCATATGTTGCATACTTTGAATAACGGAAAGACAGAAGTAATAGTGATTTCCAAGAAAAGGATAGTACCTAAGTTCATAATAAAAGTCAAAGGGGTATTTTATTAATATTCTTCCTCAGATGACGTCACAGGACAGTCCAACATTTAAAAAGGTGGTAAGACTGAGTTTCCCAGCTTTCTGATGCTTTTAGCGACCCCAAAACATCTAGAACTGGCCCTAACGCCAACCCAACCACGTCCCATGAGAGAGTGCAGCCTAAGTCCCACGACTGCATGCAGCTAGGTCTCACGACGGCATGCAGCCTCGCTACCACCCCCCTGAAATATTAGACTGTCCCATGACCTGTGGATTTCCCTTGTTTTAGGTAAGATAATAATAGAATGTTGATGTTGAATTAGGAATCGACATCACGGCACTCGGGACACTCCCATAAGTGATTAGTCCCCATCTTCAGCAGCAAGCGAAGAGTTCCAATTCCGATTGAACCAGTAGGATATTAATAAAGCACCGTCAAAGGCGTTATTGTAGAACAAGTACAGAAATGTAAGTATCTGGACACACCGATAGAAGATGTATCACAGAGACAAAAAAAATTGAATAGGACAGGGCAAATCTGCATTTTACAAAATAAAGAACATTTTATGCAATAAATCTGACTCATTGGAGGTTAGCAAAAGAATTCTTGCAAGTTATATAGAGACAGTTTTAACATACGGCTGTAAAGCCTGGACAATTAATAAACAAGCGGAACAATATCTTGAGGCCTCGGAGATGTGGTTTTACAGAAGAATCCTTAGAATTTCTTGGACAGCTAAGACCTAGATGTTTTGAAAGAGGCGAGTGTTTGAAGACAACTTATTACATACATCAAAAGGAGACAGTCATCAATTTGTCGTCATTATGAGAAGAGGTAAAATGGAACATGTCATGACCACCGGAAAGATCTGTGGAAAGAAAAACAGAGGACGACAGCGTGAGAAGATTCTTGACAGTCCTGTGTCGTGGCATGGACGGTGTCAACACATGAACTGATACACACAGTTGCAGATCGCAGATTGTGGGGAGGCAGGATTGCCCACGTAGGTCGGCAAGGCACTTGATGATTATATTTTGCGTTGTCTTGAACTTATTCTATCCTGGTGGCTTATTCGGTGCTTTCCTAATATCCTACCCCAAACAGAGGAAATCCACAGGTCATGGTGCAGTCTAATAATAATAATAATTTAGGGGTGGCATAAAGGCTGCATGCAGTCTGGGGACCCTAGTCTTTATGAAGTCGTGGGACCTAGGCTGCACTCTCTCGTGGGACGTAGGTGGGTTGGGGTTAGGACCAGTTCTAGATGTTTTGGGGTCGTTAAAGGCATAAGAAAACCGAGAAACCCAGTCTTACCACCCTTTAAAATGGTTGACTGTCCTGTGACGTCATCTGGGATATGATATTTGAAGAACCGTTAATTCGGTTATTTTTTTTGTGATAGCCTGCTATTTGTTTTAACAATTTCAGGTCTAGAACACTTAAATTTAAGAAACTGATCGCGGAATGAGGAATAAACTCACAGGGAGCAAGTACAGCAGGGATCTACCAGTCGTCAGTAGAAATTATCCTCGTCGACACGCGTTTCGGCCAACGATTCCTAGACGCATGCGGAGGTGGGCCCTCCTGAGCTCATGAAGCTCAGGGCTGGTTTCCTGCTGCACGGGATTACCGGATGGTGTTTTACTTTCGGCCAGAGACAAGACGACTTGGTGGTTTCGCAGAAGGTACTGTGAGATAAGAAGCCGCCGCGGTAGCCTAATTAAAGCAGTCAGCATGCCTGGACGACCGAGCGACAAACTTACTTTGGTTTACCGGACACATGTTGGACTTTTATTAGCAGTTGGCAGAGGAACGCTGGCAGACAATTCGGACACGATGGACTTTCAAATGGATAAGAAACTCTTTTCCACTAGACACCCGGACCAGCTCACCGAGGCCCGTCCCCTACGTTGTTGCGCTGCGTCCAAAGCCAGCTAGAGGCCCTTTCGGCTACCTCTCCCAGTTTTTTGAGTGTTCGTTTCCGTTCATTACCGCGCAATCCTAGTTCTTTCACCACATTGTAGAGCGAAGTGGAAACGAGGCCTCTCGCTCCCACTTCGACGGCAAATACCCGTACCGTGTAAGTCTCGTTTCTCCTCAGACCGGCTGCTAAATCACTGTACTTCTCGAGCTTGTACAAATGATTCTCCTTCATACGCGACTCAAACGGGACAGTCAACTCAATCAGGATGAGCTGCCGTTTTTGCGCAGAATGGAGAACGATGTCCGGTCGCAGGCCGGTCTTACGGATCAATTCGGGGTACCGTTCATGGCCTGGCAGATCAACCGCCAGTAACCAGTCCCTCGCAGAGTCTAGCACAGATGGAGCGAATGCGTTTTGGTTGACCTTACCTTTTGGAACCTGACCAGCCTTGAGGAAACGAATGGGGACGATGCTAGAACTGGCTCTGGCATTAGCCCTCATTATAGCCTGGTCGACAACGGCTGCTAACTCTTTTAGCACCTTTTTGTGTCGCCAGGTATATCGGCCTTGACCTAGGGCTTTCCTGCACGCGGACAGGACGTGCTCAAGAGTTTGCTTTGATTTACACAACGGGCAGGTCGGATCGTTGGTCGCAGACCATTTAACCATGTTAACACCGGACGGTAATACATCGTACGCCGAACGAACGATAAAGCTCAGTCGCAGCGGGGTCATCCGCCAGATCTCACCCCGTGTGAGTATTCTTGGCAATGCGCTCTCCAGGCTGACCCAATGGCCCTGCTGGGCTGCTTTCTGGACCCGAACCTCGTTTTCGTTGTCCCTCACCGTTTGTATTACCATGTCTCGGCGCTCTTTGGCTAAGGCCTTTGACCACCAATTGACCTTCCCGTGCCATAGGCCTCGACGGTCGGTTTGTGTGTATCCCATTATCTCTCTCAATTTTAATGCATTCTGGGCAGATTCTATCGCATCGAGGACTCTCCACTTGGTTCCAGTCTTTAGAGCGGGCTGGACAGCGATGACATTTGGGTCTGAAGACTCGCGCAAAAGCATGGCGAGTCTTACCTTGCCGACTTTAAACTCTTCGGTTATTGACTTGAACGGAAGTACCAGCTTAGCCTGTTTGCAATACAGAGCCACGTCGGTCAGACAAGGCGGTGCACCAATCCACTTTCTCAAGGCTGTGTTGATTTTTTTTTCTCCATGGCTTCCACTGCAGTCATCGTCACCTCGTAGACTAACAGTGGTCATAGGAGCTTTGGAATCAACATGAATTGGAGACACCATACCTTGAATTTTCCGATCAGCCTGCATCGCTCGATCGCGAGCAGGCCTGTAGCCAGTTACTCGTGTATTCGCCAGACCTCCGCTCTATCAGATAACTTCGAATCGTAAACGCGACCGAGACTCTTCACCGGTTCCTCCAGAACCGTAGGGATCTTGTTCCTTGCCACCGTAAAACTGATTGCCGACACCTTGCCCTTATGGATTGACAGACTCCTCGACTTCTGCGGTTTGAACTGCATACCGCTCCATTGGACCACCGCGTCCAATCTTTTCAGGATCGGGCGGGCAGACTCCTCGCTGCCCGTTATTATAGTCGTGTCATCCATAAATGCGCGTAGTGGCGGCAACCAGTGATCCCCTATTTGAAGGCCCAGTCCGTAGCCGGCCGCCCCGTCTAACATGATCTGCATTGCCATGACAAACAGTATGGGTGAGATCGTACAGCCCATAGCTATCCCAGTCTGCAACTCAGTCCACCTCGTGGTAAACGTTGAGGTAGAGAAGCGCAAAGCGAACTTAGAGAAATATTGCTCGATCATTTGATTGATCTGTGTCGGTACGTGAAACATGCGAAGGGCTCGCCACAGTAGCCTATGGGGGACTGCCCCGTAGGCGTTGGCTAAGTCCAACCATATAACGTGCAAATCGGTTCTCTCATGCTTGGCTCTCTGGATAGCCTCCCAAATCATGGTCGCGTGTTCAAGGCACCCAGGAACGCCTGGAATACCACCCTTCTGAACACTCGTGTCTATGTACTTGTTAGTCATCAGATACTGTGTGAGCCGGCGAGCCATGACTGAGAAGAATATCTTACCCTCGACATTCAACAGCGAGATGGGCCTGAATTGGGAAAGACTCTTCGAGTCCTGCTCTTTGGGAATGTAGACCCCATTTGCCTTTAACCACTCTGGACATATGTGGTTGCGGATCCACGCTTGTCTCAACAAGACGTGAAGCATTTTTAGGATTTTCGGGCAACGCTTGTAAAGAACGTACGGGACACCGTTCGGACCTGGGGCAGACTTGCCGCTGGCTTTTTTCACAACTTCCTCAACCTCAGACCAAAGGGGAGGTACCATTTTAAATGGTACCTTCGGCACCGAAGGCTGTTTAAGGCCGCTGAGGATCTCTGGATTGTCATCGAGAGGCTCTCTCCTCTTTTTGTCAGAGTACATCTTGCGTAGATGTAGCTCTAGTTCTTCCTGACTGACAACCAGAGTCCCAGACTTCGGTTGCTCGAATAGACCTCGGGCAAACTGATACGGGTCCCTAAAGAATTTATCTCGCTCCCTTTTGGTTCTACGTCTGTTGTTACAGAAACGCTCGGCGCGACAGAGGGCACTGTGTTTGTTCTTTAAATGCAACCAAACTTCATACAGCCCCTCCCGTTCGCTGCCTGTAGCGGCTTTGAACCGTTTTCTGAGGGCATTCTTGTCTGCCCGACACTTCAGAATGTCCCTCTGCCTCCTGCTAGTATTCTGCTTGGCACCCGGCTGTGCCTTTACTACTGGCTCGAACTCAAGGGAGCAGTGTTCATATTTTACATCACCAAATTTTGTAAGCTTGTCGCCTAGCGACTTCTTGTTTAGAGTTTGTTTAAGTACCTCACATAATGTAGCCCCCAACTTACACCACACCACCTTCTCGCTCGCAGGTGGAAACCTGATTCTGGAACGCACTTCTTCAGAAATCAGAATGAGAATTGTAGCGACACATGTAATGGACTGAAAAAGTCAACTATAATAAAATTATATATATATATATATATATATATATATATATATATATATATATATATATATATATATATATATATATATATATATATACACACTTTAGATAGATAATTACCTGGACTAAGACGGCCTCTATGAGATTGTCTCTTGCATCTCTTGGGCTGCAGATGAGAATCTGTCTCTGGCTGTAGAGTTTGGCATTTGTCAGAAGCTCTTGCAGAGAACTGCTGAGTATGACTGACTGAGGCTGCACCGTGTATGGGATTACAGAAAGACTATGGTTCAACATTTGCTCGGCGAGGTTCTGACATTCTGTTCCAAGAAATAAGTTTGTGGGATTAGTAAACGCCGGGAACATAACGGTTAGAGTGAACTCCTTATACAATGGAGTTGTTGCACTAATATGATCCACCAAAACACTTAGCCTTTTCTCGTTATCACAATTCACGTCATGTTAACGATACAAACACTGATAATTGATTAACCATAAATATAAAGGCAATATTTAATTTTCTTTGCAGAAAAAAAAAGACATACTTGTCTTTGTGTGTGTATGTGTGTGGTGTGTGGGTGGGTGGGTGGGTGGGGGGTGGGTGCCTGCGTGCGTGCGAGAGAGACTAAGACTCATGTAACAGAATTAGAATGGCTCCAGCTTTACAAACCAAATGGACTTATGTACAGTTTATATTAACATGCAGCTCTTATACTCCACATGGAACTTCATTTAAATGCCCCGATTAAAAGACTCGACTCTCTTCCTTACTAAACGAACAGACCGTGTTCTAAAAAAAAACAAGCCACCTAACGCAAAAGTTGGCCAAGGACGCTCGTCTAGCTAGAAATTGAGACAAACACTTTGTTATTAAGAACTTCGCTACAAGACTCCAGTAAAGTTACAGCCACCTGTTCCAGATAGGGGTCTTTCGACCGGATTCGCACCTAAATAGCGTCGGTGCCTTGGACCAGAAAACACGGCGACCGGTACTGGCAAATGTCAAATCGCTCTTGACACAGGAAAATACGTTGGATTTCTTGACATAATTCAATTTACATCTATGAAATCCATCCTAAAGCCACAGTTTCGAAAAGGCTGTAGACTGAAAAAAAAATCCTTTATACCATTGCTATAAACTGGACACGCGGTACCTCAGGTCGCCATTTACGTGACGAAAAGGGCTGAAACTTATAAAACTATTACCCAGAAGGGCCCAAATCTATAAAACCATCGCCCACACTTTAAAAAAAAAAGACAGTTGATTAAAGATTTATTTTTGTGGCTAAACAGGGCCGGTAACGGCCGCCTGGACGACAAATGGCTTGACAGACCTTTCGAGGAGAGATGATAAACAACCTGCAATATGTATCTATACGTGTGACTCCCGCGGAAACCAGAGAAATAAGAAAGGAAGATTTTATGAGAAACAAGGTTGACCAACCTACACTGGTGCAGTATTACGATATGTTTATAAAAATTTCATATGAGATGGGACGGACACACATTTTTCTTATTATTTATTAGGTCTTATGGTGAAGAGGCTTTTTCTACACTATTAAACTAGTATTGTGCCAGAAGTGGGGGATAGTTTATTATTCGTTGACTTAAACATTGATAATTTTTGTTACTGGAACACAACTTTCAGAAGGGCAAATCTCATATCGTCTGTATACTTGTTGTTAATTTGCTGAATGTCCTGCCTGCAAGAAATTGTATCATTACAGAACCTAATCGATCACTAAATCTTGGCCTACTGTCTGTGTTCCTGTTCATCGTTAAAGGATGTCTCATATAGTGATGCATGAATGCAGACTGCATCTGTGGTAATTAGACGTGGCTGTGTACGAACCGGCGGCCATTTAGGCAGGTACTGTCACAATCACGATAAATTGCAGGATGGCTGGAAAAATGTGTATCAAGAATTTGAAGAGATTTGGTGATAGAGTGACAGAATTAAATATACAGCAAATCAAATACAATGACATTACATTGCAGCTGATAGACATGGTTATCTCACCTTGGTTATCGGTAGCGCTTTCTGGCATGACCATCATAGCACTCTTCCAGTTTCTGTGCAGGAATAAGTCAACAACTGCCAGGTTCTGGGCTTGTGCCGAAGGTCTTATCTCTACCATTGTTTTCCAGTTCACCCTATCTTGAACACGGTTCATGTCTATCCAGTCAAAACCTAATTCAGAAGTATGAAAGAAGGGATTGTACAGTAGATTGTTGCAACATGTCCACTACACTTTGTAGCAGCAAACACTGGTCCTTAGCGCTTGTTGGCAACTTATCTATGATGGACGCTAACGCCCTGTTAATTTACAAGCTTATGCAAAGTATTTTGTTGCAAACATATTGACGATGCCTTTTCTTTGGAGTAAACATTACTGGTCGAGAAGTGAATAGTCTGCTTGAGAGAAGCTTAGTCTTTGCAACATTGCCAAAGATTTCTAATGTGGAAGGATTAATTTCATCTCTGGTTGTGGATTGTAAAGTTCAAGCCTCTCTAAAGCGGAATCTAATATCGTAACAATGTTGGTACTTGTCCGTTATTCTAGACTATAGTGCTATTCTGTGCTTTATAGAGCCTCTATTAGAGGCAATGAAATCGCATCACATGGCGATGACAAGTGTACCTGTCAGACCAGCCGTTAAAAAATACTTTCCACTATTAGTGAATCGGATTTCGGGACATTTATGTAACACTGGTCATTAAATTCCATTTATTTGTAATACTAAAAGAGATCTGATAATACAATCCAAACCTCGTTCTGTGTATCAAAAATAAAAATGAATACCATGTGCAACATAAATATGTCCGTAAGGTTAAACAAAAGAAACAGTTGGGACACAAGTACAGTAATTTGTAAGAAGAAATGAATTCGACAAGTACCATTTTCTTTTGTGTCTCATGGATAATCTTGAGATAAATTTAAACCGTAATCAAGTGATCAGTAGTTTAATTCAAGACTTTATAGATAATAATGTCGCTCGTCCATTTTTTTCTACCAAAATCTAGGCGTGCCCAAATGAACATAACACAAAATGTCCTCATTAAAACAAAAATGAAATCTTCTTCTTCTTCTTCTTCTTTTTCTTCCTCTTAGCTTTCACCGACTGTAAACTGAGGTAGAAAGTTCTGGTTGTTCGTCCATTCACTTCCGAAATTTGATCCTGCCCAGAGCCTGAGCAGATCTTACAGATTTCAATTTTTAAAGCAGACTGTTGGTTCCTCACCTCTTAGGTAGATGCATTCTGACTTTAAAGGAAACACCTCTAGCTGGTCGCTTTTACGACATGTTTGTTAAAGGACAGTGGGCCAAATCCCCCCCCCCCCCCCCTTTTTCCCCAAAAACAAAACAAAAACCTGAACCTACACGAGAATATTTTAATTTTGTGATATTTCAGTTTAAAACTCACCTTTGTAATCAGTGACCAGGTATGGGATTTCCATTTTCTGCAATATCATGGCAAGGTTGGTGTAGAATGGACCAATGATTAGGTTGGGCAGAACTCCGTCGTCCGCAGCTTGAGTTATGAGAGCTGCAAAGAAACCAGTGTATTGGCAAAGCAGCTGAACGTTTTGACCAAAAGTCCTTATCATTCAAGTGCCCTCTCTCTCTCTCTCTCTCTCTCTCTCTCTCTCTCTCTCTCTCTCTCTCTCTCTCTTTCTCTCTCTCTCTCTTTCTCTCTATCTCTCATGTGTCACTTGTAAGCTGAGAGGTCACGATTTAGAACAACCGATCCAAATTTGAGAGTACGGAATTATAATTATCTATGAGAAGATAAAAGCATACAATAGCTCACAATCAGAAATTCAAAGGTCGCAATGTGTGACTGACGATCTGAAGATCAAAGTGCAGATTATTACCCATGATGCAATTTGTTTCCTACGACCCGATGTTGAGAGGTCAGAGTGACACAGTCAGAAGCTGGAGAGCATCACCACATGGGGCGTAAGAAATATTATATGTCAAGTAAATACTGTAGGACATTTAAAGTCATACACACACACACACACACACACACACACACAGAGAGAGAGAGAGAGAGAGAAAGAGAGAGAGAGATAGTGAGAGAGAGAAAATGAAAGACAAGGACGGAGAGACCACACAAACACAACGAATTGACATGGTAAACAATATCTGAGAAAACTCGCACGTGTTATCAATCCCTGCAACAGCACAGCAATACCCATGTGTAAAAGAGCTAACAACGACCCTCTCCTCAGAGAACCCTCTCCAGACATCTTTTCGGTCTTAATTTGTCAGGTAATGCATCTCCCGCGCCGGAAATGCACTCACCAAAGGACGGACACAAACTCATTAGCAGCCTAGCATTCTACTTCTCACACGTACCACTGGTGCATGGACATCAGTTGAGGCTTTCGCGCTGGCTTCGCTATCTGCCCCCGTTGGGAGACAGTGGAGAAGCAGAAACAAATACCAGAAAACAGGTGGGTAAATACAACAGGTAAATGTATAAAGCCAAGTACAGGTGGTAATGGAACTGAGAGATATAAGTAAAGGCATGTTTTGGAACAAGTAAATTGAGGGCATGGACACTCTCTTTTTAAGTAACTTGATGAATTTGACATTATTTCACAGATAATATGATATTTTTGCAATTAAAAACATTATATATATATAATATATTATGAGTGTGTATGTTTGTGTGTGTATATATAAATATATCTCAAAAACTTAAACAGTAGCGTCCAATAACATTGCAAGCATATGCACATTAAAAAACACAATAGTTGCCAGTCCTTAAAGAGCGTTATTGAACCAGCCTCATAATTCTTTTCGCTTTTTGTGATTTCTTTAGAATATTTTACCTTTAGTAGTTTGCCATTGCGTCGCTAAACGGTGGACTCTCGATACCACTGTAGAAACCAACGCAAGGCGGTCTGCTGCCAAATCGCCCCCAGCTGGGATTGAGTCTGGCACCAGGGAATTACGAAGTGCATTGGCAACGACTAAGCCACAGACGCTGTTGCTTTCGTTCCGTTGCTTTGCTCGACAAAACAATCGTCACTTTTAACTAGCATTTCCAAAGGGGGAGCTGTGGATTATAATTGTGACTAGGTTTTGTGCGCTATATAAAATGGCTTAGTATTGCTCGCCACCAAGTAGCCCTGGAAAGGACTCTTGCAGTGTTGATGAGATCAAAGGAGGCAGACCCAAATTCTGTCCACTATCCCCATCGGCGACAAAGTCGTCTACCGGCCAGCCCATTGGCGACCCGGTTGCTGATACACAAACGCCTACATGCACAGATACCCTATAAACTAGTAATGCTCGAGAAACAAACCCTGCAGCTAATAAAAAGCTAGAAGATTTTAAAAAGAGAGCAGGAAACAAATATTTTCCCTTCCCTCGTCATTTCCCTCTCACTTAATGATGATTATTTACATTGCCTACTGTGCGCATCCTGAATTGTCTGGAGTCTAGATTGACAGATTCCGTGGAACGCGTCGAAAATTCACCTTCGTAAATGTAACTGAGTTCCCTGGTTTTATTTTTCCTCTCTCAAAGGATGCGGGTTGCAGTTAAAAGTTCACATGTAGAATACACATAGCCAAGCGCGTTAGGTGGAAGGGTGGCAAAGACTGGGTACTGAGGTTGTTTCTTCTGAAAGAATGGCATAGGTAATTAATTAAAGATTGTATGGCCCTCGTATTCCAAGTATATATATATATATATATATATATATATATATATATATATATATATATATATATATAAAACAAAAGTGGTTAAATCAGTTGTTGGTTCTGGGTAGATTGCAAACTGTTTAAAAAAAAAAAGGGAGGGGGGGCGCAGGGGGGATAGTTTATGTTTGATCATAGTTTGACCATCATTACAGATATCTTCCTGACATAGACTGACCTACCTTGGTGAATGCCTGACGCTATATACGTCCATCCATGTTGGGGCATCTTGAGGGTATCGTTAATAAGCAGGTTGAGGTAGTGGGGCGACTGAAAACATTCTGCGACATCTCCACTCAGTTTCAGTTCCTGCTGGATGGGCTTGTGTTTCTGTAAGTCGTTGATACTGGCGGACAGCAGGCCTAAGAATTTAAGATAAGCATTGTTTCATTGGCGTTTTCATTGACGTTATCTCTTTCTGTTTATTTCACATATGTTTAGGTATAAATTATGTCCGTAATCTTCTGTTTTTGTTTCATTTATATGACAGACCTGGCCAATGATGGCACTTTTATAGGGGTGTCAGGTTGGTCATGCGTGGATGTGCACCTGTTCTCACCCCGACGCGGTCATCATTTGGAAGCAAGGGGGCAGAGACCTGGTAAGTGATTAAAGCTTTAAATCGTGGATGTCTACTGTATCCTACTTTTTCTATTTCTTTCTGCTAATACTGTACCTTTCAATATATGTTAATTTGTTTTTCTTACAATTTTGCTGATGCCCTGTTCAGCCAGAGTAACCAATGTCTGCTGTTACGTTCAACTTGTCTCTGATATGGAATGCAATTTTTTTTTCTTTTTATTTTTTTTAAAAATCTAAATCCTTACACACGTTTTGAGCCATAAATAACTTGACGATTGGACGCGGTTTCACGGACCTGCGTTTGTGGGGATTCTCATTCGAAAGATGGCACTTTGAGTCACTAGGTGTGAACAGTTCGTTGTGTGGTCTTGGTGATGCTGAACGTCAAGTCACTCGTTATGGTTTGATAAACCTTTCAATGTTAAACTAACGACGTGGTTGAGCACCTTGTTGATGACGACACCTATCCGTCTTTCCAAACGATAGTGTTCCATTACGCAGTAGGGAATATGTGAAATACAGCAAATAGCGATATTAGTTAAGCCCATAGATTGAGTTCCTCGTGTTCATAGCACCGCGCTAAGGCATTATTATGAAGACCTATGCAGTATGATACCTGTCAGCCTGACTTTGTTATTCCAAGAAAAGGTAACGTTTGGAACAAAGCACGCTGCAGAAGCTGTCGGATCGGAGGAGCTGGTATCTGTCTCATCGGCTGTCGAATCTTCCCTCCTTGATCAGCCAACAACCAAAGCTAAGACGCTGGTCTGCACTGCTGTAACTTTAAGCATTCAGGTTTATTTCCTTAGCGTAGGATGAGTTTTACCAGTTATGGGCTGGAACGACCTAGGAGACAATGTTAAATCTCAAGATAAAAACCTGACTATACGTGAATGGGAATCCTAGACCTGCGGACGGGCAAGCGAAATTATAAGGTCTCGTCATTTGCCAAGGTACACAATTATAATCATCATTTAGCAACATTATCATCATTATTAAACATCATTTTAGCTAACGTGTGTAGCTAACTATAAGTAGAACGTATATGACATATAAGGAGCCGGGCATAACATAGAACTAGACCTCATATATATGTTCACATCACACAACTAATTGTCTCCGTGTGAACAGAATATATTTGGCACATATCTACCAGAATAACTATAAAATATAGACAACTTCAGACCAGGTTAGTTAGCGTCACTGGGTATTCTAGCAGAGCTGTTGATCACAGACATGAATCGTTCTTGTCAAAACAACTTTACGCTTTACTGAAGTAAAAGCTTCTATTCCTTAAATCTGTGTTGATACCACCTGCGAGCAGGGGGTAAAAAACGCTCCAGCAATTTTTTTTTAAACGCTGTCAGCATGTTGCTAAAGTATGAAACTGTCATAATTGGATACCTTTAGATTTGTGACTTCCTGATTTTGAAGGTAGCGGAAATCTATATGCCTCCCATTTGGATTAAATGGGAACCTCAAGAAATGACACTAATCCCTGGCTTGAGTGCGTCCTCACAGGGACCTAAAATACTAATTAAAAAGTTTATTAAAGGACTTTTATCAAGTCTTATCGGCAACAGGCGTGTAGTGCTAGACAAATAATTACAAAGATCAGTCAGCACTCGATGAATTATGTAATCCATATCCTGTCGGCCGCCTTTACTTGCCATGACATTTCCTGGTCCCTGGGTAGTTTGGCTCTCATCACTGTCTGCCTGAAAGAAACTAGGTATCTCGCCAGTTCTCCCGCCTCATGTACTTTCATACTCAAGGAGTCACTTATATCCTGTGACCATCTTCATGTCGGTCGGCTCCTACTCCGCCTTCCTGGTACCATGCCTTCTGCTATAATTTTTTCGAATCCGCCGTGGCGCCTGATATGACCAAAATGCTTCAGCTTCCGAGACAGGATTTTGTTTATTAGCCAATCTTCCTTAATGTTCAGATCGTTCAAGATGTCAGTTTTCTCCTCTTCTTTGTCCAAGATATTCTGAGAATCTTTCTATAGCATTTCAGCTCAAAAGAGAGACAGTCCACGATTCACATCCGTATGTAGCCAAAAAGAAGAATCTTGCTCCTAAAAATTATAATTTTGATCTCCTTGCTGGTGTTTAACCATAGACTTTAAAGGCTGTTCAATCTTTGCATTGCTATGGCCATTCTCCTTTTAATTTCTGTCATAGTTTCCATTGCTGTATATTATAGAGCCTAGATATTCAAAGTGATTGATAATTACATGTGCATTTAACCAGCCAAACTACAGTTCGTTTACTCTATGAAGCTACGTTTGCATTCTTCCTATTATGCCGCATCTTGCTTGCATTATGATTTGTGTAGCCAAACAGTTGTTCTATTTCTTTTAATGACATATATCATTTTATTTTTTATGTTGGTTTTTTTTTTAACCGCTTCTATGCTTGCTAAGTCTTTCTTTCTTTTTTTAAGGATGACTTATAAATGCAATCATCCTTATATATATATAAATATATATATATATATATATATATATATATATATATATATATATATATATATATATATATATATATAAACACAAAAAGACAGACAGGTGTATCTTCATTCAGCCAAACAGAAAAACGTACCAATAGTGAGAGGGTACCCTTGTCCACTCTTCGTCTTCCTACACCTGGCTTCTCCACGTCTCCATGACAGCAGCAACAATAGAAGCCACATCATCAACATGGTTGCTGGCTGTATTTCCTAGAAGTTCGATTGCTTAATAATTATTTAGCTATAGCAATATTTGGTAACATTTCTGGTGAGTTCTAAAATGATTATAAGCAAAGAAAGTAATGTTTCCGTAATTCAGCTGAGTTTGAAATTTGATGGTAGCACCATATTTTTAATAGTCGATCAACACTCGATGCGTGATCTAGTCATTAACGATGTTTGGGTGCCATTTCTGGATAAAAAATCTCTATTTTTGCCGTCTTGGGTAGCCATTCTTTAATGTCAACTCTGAACAGGTTATCTTCTTCTGTTACCTCGTCTGATAATATGTCTCTTACTGCTTCAGAATTGTGTTCTTTGTAAAGCTCGGATTGCTCTTGAGGCTGCCCATCCTCCCCCTGGCAGCTTTTACGTTACAAATATTTCAGTTTTACTAATTTTGACATGGATCGGACTGAAAGCCCTTACGTCTTCCTCTTCTTCTTCGTGTTCACGGCTGATAACATTTGTTCTGGAAATCTCTTGTTGTTCCTCCACATCCAGACCTTGGTCTTGTTCCAAAACTTGAATTCTCATGCGCATCCTCTTTATACAGCTGGCTTATTTCTTAGTCGACGTCTGTGGCTTCATAATACCGGGTGTCAGGTTCGATCCAAGCTGCGAACGGTGTGTCTTGCACTTGTTTCGTCAGTGGTACCGAGAGCTGACAATTCAGTCACAAACTACTAAACGTTAAATTTGCCTGGAAAAACCACAAAAGCCAAAAAATGCTGGTGCTGGTTCTGCAACCACCTGCAAAGATAGACTCGCTTTTTTCTTATTTCTTGTTGGTTGCTGGCCTCTCATGCAGATGCACTCTGACTTCGAATGAAACTTCCCTTATCAATCACTTTTACACCATGCCTGTTAGGGGCCCATGGGTCTTTTCTTTCTCCCAGAAAAAAGCGCCCTGAAACCCACACGAGGAGATGCTCAGAACAAGTACATTAATGTAAAAGACCTCTTTCCTCGCCTTCAGGCATATTGGGCATATAGGGATAGATCTATATTTTAATAGATCAATCTGCACTTGGTTGGTGGGTAGTCAACGTTAAGCTGACCGTCTTTACTTCCCATGATTTCATCTGGTACTCATTTGATGCTGGGTCGACATAGAAGCCAAGGTCATTTTTTGAAACGGTCTGGCCCAGTTCGCATTCGAACCCACAATCTTCAGATTCGCAGGCTAGCCGCTACACCACGGCGACTTCCACAATTCTGTATAAATATATATATATATATCTTTCAGTATTGTTTAGTTTGAGCAACTGCTGAGAGAGACTGGATGATAATAAGTATCTAATACTTGTAACCAAATGAATGGAAATGCACACATCAGTAGTGAGTATTTTATTATCCCCTGCTGCGCGCCTGCTTTGTTCACAAGGAAGAAAAAATAGTAGAAGAACAATGAATTAAACAGTCCACAGATCAGTCCCTTGAAAAAAAAAATCTGCTAAACATACTCATTTGTCAACAGAACAATTCTACTACAAAAACTGAAGTCTAAACAACCTTCAAATAAACAGCCTGCCTAAGCATCCCCCCCCCCCCCGGGCCTCAACACACATGGATTAATTGTAAACCACTTGTAAGAGAAAGATTATGTCCGACCAAACAACAGATAGATCTATCTATCTATCTATCTATCTATCTATCTATCTATCTATCTATCTATCTATCTATCTATCTATCTATCTATCTATCTATCTATCTATCTATCTATCTATCTATCTATCTATATCTATCTATCTATCTATCTATCTATCTATCTATCTATCTATCTATCTATCTATCTATCTATCTATCTATCTATCTATCTATCTATCTATCTATCTATCTATCTATCTATCTATCTATCTATCTATCTATCTATCTATCTATCTATCTATCTATCTGTATCCGTCCGTCCGTCCGTCCGTCCGTCCGTCCGTCCGTCTAGTCCGTCCGTCCGTCTCGTCCGTCCGTCCTTCCATCCATCCACTCCATCCATCCCATCCATCCATCCATCCATGCTAACCATCCATCCATCCATCCATCCATCCATCCGTCCGTCCGTCCGTCCGTCCGTCTGTCTGTCTGTCTGTCTGTCCGTCCGTCCGTCCGTCCGTCCGTCCGTCCGTCCGTCCGTCCGTCCGTCCGTCTGTCTGTCTGTCTGTCTGTCTGTCTGTCTGTCTGTCTGTCTGTCTGTCTGTCTGTCTGTCTGTCTGTCTGTCTCCTCTAGTTCTCGTGTACTCTTTCTCTCTCTCTCTCTCTCTCTCTCTCTCTCTCTCTCTCTCTCCGTCCCTCCCTCCCTAGCTCCTATGTTGCCCTCTCCACATCTCTCCACTCCCTAGCAACAAGTTGCTAACCACTTATTTACTACGGCTTCCTGCAGTTTTGCACAAGAAGCTAGAATCAGACAAATAGCTTGAGACATTTAAAAAAAAACTAATTCACTTGAATGCTCTGACTTAACAACACAACAAAACAGAACATGTTTCAATTAGTTCTTAATGTAGCGTTGGGAACTTGATATTCATACAGGATATACGTTGCAGCTAAGTGAAGGCGAATTTTCTTATGATGAGAGTAGAAAGCACATTCTAAGTACATGTTTACTTGGCGGAGAAGTTAGTCAACATTACTCTACCCGATTTCTTTAGGTGCCATAACCTTCGGGAGCCGGAACAGAAGTTACAAAGTCTGGGGTCTTGAGTTCTTTGACGGTTTTGTTTATTCAGCGTCATGGCATCCAGGTGTAACTTATAAATGTTCCGTTCTACTTGTAACTCAAGACTGAGTCTGAAGAATCTCAGCTCAGTGCACGAACTCCGTTGCACCGGTGAGGATCCTGAAATACTTTGGGTAAATTTTTAACTTTAAGCTACTCTTTTTTTCGATTTCTAACTGCTAAAGTCTTTTCTACGTACGCAACAATACACACGAGCGTTTTGATCTTACTACTCAGAGACCAGGGGCACTAGAAGTTCACGTGAAAAAATCCTAGCTTTCACCGGGGGTTTGAACCGAGAGCCTCAGCACCTCTCAGCCCGCTTTGGAATATTTACCTCAAGGTTTCTTGAGCACCCCCTCAGCCCAATTATCGAGGAAAAATGAACATGGGGTGGTGTCTGCATCGTACGGGGGTTTGAAATCTTGTAGAGGAAGTAGGATGCCCTTGTTTTAACTATGTGTTGAAATTCTCTTTTAAAAGTGTCTGTGTCTACATTTCAGACTATTTCAAGCATATTATTGTAGTTTTTTTTTTTTTTTTTTATTCAGCACATAATAATATTAGTAATAATGAGTTGAATGGCACACGCATGTAATAATATATATTTTAAAGTAATTTAAAAATATAAGCAAACAGTTTTATAGATAATTTCCATACATGTTCATCTTTGTAGTCCGTTTTTTTAATTCATGCTTTTCTATTTTCTATAATCTCTCGGTAATTACTTGTCACGGGAGCGTGATTATTTTTCACGAGCTCCTTTTTTCATCGCGACGTTTATGTTTATACATAAATAGTATGTCAACTACCCAGTGTTGTGGAAACAGTCAGTTTTACAGTAACGACATGAATAGAATTACCCAAGTATCATAGAAACGAGAGACGTTGCTGTAGCTGTTTATCATGGGGGACGTAAGTACCCATAAAAAAAATTTAAAAGTAAAATGTTAAGGACCCGATCCACGCCTTTAGGCGTTTAGGGCATATGGGGACTAGACCTATAATTTATAGACCAATCCTCACAAGATGGTCAGCACCACGCCAGCCACCTTTACTTCCCGGAACTGCACCCGGTACCCACTCAAGGTTGGGTCGAATTATAAAATGGGACTCCGTTTGAATAAGGGAAAGACAGAAGTAAGGGGGATTTCCAAGAAAAGAATAGTACCTGAAAGTATAATAAAAGTCAAAGGTGTTATTTTAAAACAAGTACAGCAATTAAGGTATCTTGCAACGCGTGGATAACATCCGATGGAAGATGTATTACAGAAATAAAGAACAGAATAGGACATGCCAAAACTGCCTTGAAGAACATTTTATGCAATAAATCCATTTGACTGGAGGTTAGGAAAAGAATTTTCGCATGCTATAAAGAGCCAGTTTTAACATACCGCTGTGAATCCTCGATTTAACCTACGGCTGCAAATCCTCGACTTTAATCAACTAGCCGAACAATGTTTTGAGGCCTCGGAGATGTGGTTTTAAATAATCTTTCGAATTCCTTAAACAATTAAAAATACAAAAGAGCAACCCAGATGTCTTGGAAAAAAAAGCGAGTGCTCACAGACAACTTGACACAAACATCAGAAAGAGACAGTCATTATTTTTGAGGCCATGTTATGAGAAGAGGGAAACTGGAACATGTTGTTGCCGTTGAAAAGATATGTGGGAAGAGAGACAGAGGAAACCAGCACAAGAAGATTCTCGACAGTTTTTTTGACGTTGTATTGAGGCTAGGCAACACATGAGCTGATGCGGATCACATTTTGTGGAGAGGCACAATCGCCCGTGCCAGTCGGCAATGCACATAATAGTGATGAAACCCTATGGGCAAGCAGGGTAGACATTACGCTACCGTTACTTAAAAATACACTCCTAATCTGGGTCTAACACCATATGTTCGATTCGCAAACTGGGTAAAAAGATCCCTTTTAACATTATGACCACTAATAGTGTACTGTTTCACCCGTCTTATAAAATAATGTATCAACTAAATGCACAGTATCAATTGTAATCAAATAGAAAATTAACTTATAGCATCGGATACCTAACCGCGTACTTACGACAGTTAACAATCAGCACACTCACTAAATATGAAAATATACCGCAGGCACTCTGCTTGGGCCCAACAGTTATGGCTGCAAATCAAAGGGGATTGAGCTACGATGAATATTGCTCTAACTGCCAGCGATTGGTGCCTGATTATCATAAAGTTATTAGGTCGTAATATGCCGACACAGCAGCCGAACCGCCGATT